ACCCCCGCTCTCTCCTAGTGGGCAAGGGGGGGGGCGCGGAGAGAAGAGCGCTCAAGAAATCTCCCTCCGCAGATCCTCCGTTTTGCCATTCTGCCTGTTTAATATCGCGCTGACTACTGCGGCCTCTGGTTTCAAGAAGCTCGGCCTGCAGTCCTGTGCAAGGTGACTCGGAAGCAGGCCCCTAGTGAGTCACAGTGAAGTGCTCTGGCTTGATCTGTTTTCTTTCTTTAACGATGGGCTGTTGCTTTCAGACGCCAGCACAGATCCAATCCATAGATTTAAAAGAAAGAAGGACGGCAGGCTTTGCAAGTGCATTTCTCTCCCCGCTCCCCCATACAAATGCAAGGAAATCTTTCTTCTTTAACTTACTGCCCCGATCCACGCCTCCACACCCACCCACACACCAAAGTGGATATATTTTTGCTTTTCTCTTGTGCCTTTATTAAAAATACCATTATTGTTTGCTCTGATCTACACTTGGGCTCTACGAAGCACGTTCAGTTGTTTAGCTTCTGTGAGCGATGAGAGTTGAGGGGGTGGGGGGTGGGGTTGACCTAAACTGCAAGAAGCAGCTCTGCAGCCATTGGCGGAGAGGGGGCAAGAGGGCACCATCCCAAAGGCTCGGGTCCTTTTCCTTCTGAAGACATCAGGAAAGGCGTGGAGGCAGCACTCAACCCTGCCGCTCGCTAACAAGCAATGCCATTAAAAATCTTGAAACGTTCCGTTTATGAAGTTGCTTGAAATTCCCTCTCCGAGCCCCTCACCCGACCCACTCCCCCACAGGAGTCAACTCCTAGGAGCCGAGATCCCTTGCCCCCCCAATAATATTTGAAGGGGCTGTGTGTCCCCCCCAAAGTGGATGGGCATTGTCATTCAAATAGTGTGCCTGTGCCGCGTCATGTGATCGATTATGCAGGGCAGGGCTTACCGGGGCGTCCACAAAATTTTATTCAAGTTGGCACTCCGGCCCTCACCTGAGAACCAAACCAAATCTTTATTACGGTCAAAGACCATCACCGCCATACATGAATAAAACATGCTCACCCAATAATGTCCTGGCAGTGAGCAAAGGTGCTGCAAGAAAGCGAAAGGGGCAAAACCAAGCAGAACTTAGTTCCTAAATAAGGAGCTCAGGCCTGCCTGGAGGCCACACCTTTTGACATAAGAACCCTTTAATCCCGCTGAGTTAGGGGAAGGCTGCACTCTGCACATGCTCCAGGTGCGCTCTCTCCTACGGCTCGCCTGGCCTGGGACGTAGGCGGCTGCTTCTTCGATGAGCCCTGGCTCAGCCTGAGGCGGGGGCTCTGAAGGTGCAGGCCTCTGGGAGCCCCGGGGTCCGGTTGCTGCTTGGGGCGGCCCGCCTGGTACTTGCCCGGCGGGAAATCCTCTCTTGTTCCTTTCTTCTGCGCTGCCTTCCCCTGGCCGCGTCCCAGCAGAATCCTGGCCATAGGGGAACGAGCACCGTAACTAATTTTCGCTCAGACGCAGGACTCCTCTGGCAGCTGCACCCTGTCGCCATTTAATAACCCTACCGCGCTTCCTTCCCCAGTAATGAATGGGAACGGCAGGCGCTCGCTAACGGAAACCGGGCTCAAACCGGCTGCGGAGCAGAGCCACCTCCTCGGGCGAGATGGAGAGCGTCTCTCGAAAGTGGCGTCGGCTTTTCCCAGAGCGCCTTTTAGCGCACGCACAGATGTCTCATCTTTCAGCTTTGAAAACGAAGGAAAGGGCGGCTGCCGTCCTCTCAAGTGCTTCTCACAGCTAAGCGGTATAATCGGGTGCCTAAAAGCAGGGCCATTGTCACACGCCGCCTCGCTACTCCGTGGACTGTGGGACTCTGCGGCCACGTGGTCCAGAAGGCGAGGGAGCCAGACCGGCGCTTAGGGATGCACAACTGTCCAAATCCCAGTCGGAGTGCAAGAACATCCTTTTATATAAACTGCATTGAACGTTTTGATGGAGGCTGTGATCTTGCACGTCTGTTGTTCCTACTTCCCATAAACATCTATAACCCGCAACTCTTACTCATATTATAAACACATAAGATAACAATTTATCACTCTGAAGACTGTCATCTTCATTAACCTCCATCCATGCCCTGATTTTAAAATTAGTTTAAGGCAAGTTTATGAAGTCAGCTTCCAAGAGAAAATAAAATCGATGTTGAACTGGCGTTCTCACGTTGACAGAACAACAGCTAATCCACTTGTGGGTGTGAACCCTGATTATGTGCCGCATAAAGGACAGCAATTAATTATTTAGTAGTAATTAATAGGCTAATTAATCCCAGTGCTTTTGAAATGTCAGTTTAAATTTATCGCACAGGAGAGCTTTTTTCCTTTGGCCAAGGACAAAAAACCTGCAAACTTTTCAAGCAAGGAGGCAAGTTCGCCCCCTTAAACTACTACCATCCACCCCGTCCCTCCCAGAAAGCATTCGGCAGCTATGGTGTAATGGGCCCCCCCTCGCCGCCTGCTTGCCCGCGCAGGTCGAATCCCCCCGACGTCCGTGGAGAGGAGCGCCGTGCTGCGCCGGGGTCACTCCTTGCCCGCCTCCTCTGTCCCTGCCTGCTCACGATGGGACGGATCTGCCCTGCCGCCTTTGTCGACGGGGGCTCCTCGTGGAAGTCGGCGCCGGCGGGGGGTGGGGCTGGTTACAGCCCCTCAGAATTTTGCGCTATGCCACTTATTTCAGCACTTAATTCTACAACACTCCGTTCTCCATTATCACGTAGCTTTTGCCAGCCCTATATAAATAAAGAATGTTATAATTTTAAATATTTTTTTCCCATGCACGCTAAATCTAAAATCAAATCTTGATCAAATACAGTCTGGGTTCGATTCTAAATTACTATTTAAAACAAAAACAAAAACCCCAATTTCTGTAAACGCAATAGGACTTTCTGATAGCAGTACAGTATCTCAGTCCGGGGTATATTGTACCCTGAATCCCTTCGCTGAAGTCTTTGGTCTCATACTCGTGTAAGAAGCTATTCCCTGGCTAAGCTGGTTTCGGATCCTGGCTTGTGGGTCCAGCTTCTATTTGCCCCCAGCCTGGACTAGCAGAATTACGATCCTGAAGTTTCATAAATATTCACTTCCTAGAAGCTTTTGCCAAGTGACCGGTTTAACAGGAGTGCCAAGTGGAAGCTTTCCAGAAGGTAATGACCAACACAACCCCAGGATGATTTGGCCCCAGCCTGCCCAGCTGCGGGGAACAGGCAGCGTTTGAGGGTAATTAACATATGAACGTTACTGCCAGGCTTCAGGTGTTCCTGTCTCCCTCGAACAGCACCCACACCCCGCCCCAAGATCCGTAGAGAAAGGCTTGCGCTGGGTAACTTTTGCGCTTTCCCAAAGGCAGAGAGTGGCCAAGGGGGCGGTAGCGCACTCACACCCTTTCCATTGCGTTTATAACCCCTCAAAGTTTTGGTTGGACGCCAATCCAATTACAGTAATTAAAAGGCAGCTCACTGAGATAAAGTGCGGCGACCCAGCGTTCCCTCCTCCCCTCCCCTTGGAAATAAAATCGATCTGTCCCCGCCAGAGCAGCGGCCTGACAGAGGTGCAGAGCTAAGGGAGGGGGCTGGTGGGAGCGCTCCAGCCCCTCCGCTGCTCTCGGGTCGCCCAAGAAGGATGACGCAGACAAGGGCTTTTATTAGTTTGAATTTTATTATAGGGATATGTAGATAAAGGGAAGGGGGGAGATTTGCCTTACATTTCAACAGGTGACTGTTGCATTAACGGGGTAAATAATCAACTTTACAATTTCGCACTCTCTCTTTCCTCTCCATTCCCGAGAGCAAAGCAGGCCCCAAACGGGTTTTGTTTTTGTTTTTTTTGGAGGCGGATGACAGAGTACGCGGGATGTGTCCAGCCAAGGCAACACTAGAGAAAGGAGGACTGGCGTGATATGCTCCAGGGGCTGTTCCGGTGGCGCCTAGCGCATTCCAACTCCCGCACCCACACCTACCCCGCTTTTGTCGCACCCTTTACCTCCCCACCCCTCGAAATGCCTCTTTCCCTCACCCCCCTTACCAAACGGAGCATTCCTGTCTTTCCCAACTAGTGGAACCTTCCTCTTCCCACCCGCAAAAATTATCGAGATATAAAAAGACCAAAAAAGTTGCAAGGGAAGTCCTGGCCGGGGGAAAAAGATGAGATGCGCGCGGTTCCTTCGATTTCCTGTACGTTAGGCTCAAGATATTGAGTTCACCTTCACCTCAGTTAATCAAACTAAAAATAAAAAGGGTCTCTGGAACCGACTTAACATTACACTATATACACAATTCCTGCCGTTTTTTGTAATACAATCCTACGGAGAGAACTGGGGGAGAAGAGTCTCCCAAGGAGACGGGGGGGATTAAGAGCTGTACACAGAAGTCTGCAATCGGCATGAAAGCAAAAGGCGCTTCCTCCCTCTCACCTTGGACGAGAGTGAGCCTTACAAAGCTTCCAGCAACATGGCTGGGGCTGGGGGAGGAATCTTGTGTGCGCGCGGGGGGGGGGTGTCTCCAGGGAACATGTATGTGAAAAGGAGGAGAACGAATTTAGATTTAAAGTTCTCTTCTGTTTAAAAATAAGAGCAGAATGCGGAACATAATCCCAGACAGCGAATAAATAACACACCAGGAGTCCAGCTGATAAGAGAGAGGCGGAGAGCAGCAGGCCTGATCCAGTAGCCGTTTAGCCGCATCCTTGGTTGTGTGGGAAGGAGCTGGAAAAATAGGCATGCTATTTGGACGCGGGGTGCTTACACTTTCTGTTCATGTTCTTTAAATATTTTTTGAAAAAAGAAAAGAAAAGTGAGAAGAGGCGGTTTGGGGAGCAGGAAGGCCGAGGCTTTGGTGGAGAGCGCGCAGAGACGGGGCGAGCCAGGAGGACGTCGGTGCGGGCGTGGGGAGACAGGCTGCCCCGAGGGAGCGGGGGGGTGGCGGGGCTGCGGGTGCCGGAGCGGAGACGCGGCTGGCGCTGCCTTCCTCCTTTGGCGAGCGGCGTCCCTCACAGCACCTGGAAGCGCCAAGAGGCCTGGTCTTTGTAGTCCAGGCAGTCCGGGGAGTTGAAGTTCAGCTTCCAGGAAGAGGCGGCGGCTGGGGCCGGCTCCTTGTAGTCCAGGCAGTCGGAGGAGTTGAAGGCCAGTCCGGTGCCCCCGTAGCCCGGCTGGTGATGGTGGTGGTGGTGGTGATGGTGGTGGTGACTGGAGCCCTGGCCCAGCGGGTGGTGCGCGTGCGGGTGCGCCGCGCCGGCCATGGAGGAAGGCGCCATGGGGCTGAGCTGGTGCGCGTGCGGGTGCGCGTGCATGGGCAAGTAGGAGCCGCAGTCCACCCCGCCGAAGTAGGAGGAGGAGGGCGGCGGGGGCGGCGGGGGCGGCGCGGGGTAGCCCTGCGCGTAGCCGCCGCCCTGCCCGTAGGACATCGGGTAGGAGGCGGAGGGCGCGCCCGAGACGGAGCGCTGCATGCAGGAGGCGCCGCCGGGCGCCAGGGGCTCGGGCACGGCGCCCGGCGAGATGGACGCGGGGCTCCAGATGGACGAGGCGGCCACGGCCGAGGGCGCGCTGCCGAGGGACGCCGAGGAAGAGGACGAGGCCGAGCCGGAGCCGGCGGCCCCGCTGCCCGCAGGGTTGCCCAAGGCCGCTGCCCCGCCGGCCGGGCCCGAGGAGTTGGAGCTGGAGGAGGACGACGAGGCGGAGCTGGAGACGGCGGGCGGCGTGAACTGGCCGCTGCTCTCCGAGCCCGAGCTCTCCCGCGCCGGCGAAGACTTCTTCTTGGCCGGCCGGCTCTTGGCGCCGCTGCCGCTCTGCTGCTGCTGGCGGCACTTGGCGCGGCGGTTTTTGAACCAGACCTGCAAGAAAAAGAAAAGAAAAGAAAATGGGGGCGGGGGCGGAACAGGCTCTTCCACGAATAAGGGACCCCACCCCTGCTCTGCCACCCACTCTCTTCCCCTCACGCCCGATCTCCCCATTCCCCCCTCAGCCGTCTCCTTCCCAAGGCAGAAGGCGCTGTGTGATCGCAACGAAACAGAAAAGTGCCAAACAATCTCAATCTACGCGGAACGGTGCAGGGGGGAAGAGGCCGTTTAGCAGCTGTCCAGGTTAGCCTATCATCCTCCATCACTACACATCACTACACAATGGATCTACACATCCATTGCCGGCTTCCTACGAGTGGTAATCAGGAGCCCCCAGACTCTGGCTCAGCGCGTTCTCTCTCGGGGGGCCCGCGGGAAAGGGAAGGTAAGTCGCTGGTGCGACCCAGAACAGAACCCAGCTAACCAATTCTGGGCGACTCTGGAACCCCACGTAGCCACCACAAATCACACCCTGGCCAAAACACCCCCAGACTCAGCACCCGCCTGGCATGACACCCACCTTCCGCTCAGGTGAATGACGCAACCCATCATGGTTGGATCAAGTTTCCCCCCTAGCCAACTTCCATCCTCCTCCCAGCAGGCTCCTGCAGAGAGGGGCTGCCAGTCCACCCACATCCATAATGTCATACTATCAAAAAGTAGGAAAGGGAGTGGGAGTCTGCACCAGTTCCACCAACACAGCCCTGTCCAACCAATCCTCCTTATAGCCATTTATAAATTAAGCTGGCAGTCCAGCACCTCATGCACCTTCTACTAGTAACATCCAATAGAAGCAGGCAGTGAGCCAGCCATCAGCGTAGGAACATGAGAAGCTGTCTTATACTGAGTCAAACATTTGGTCCAGCTAGCTCAGTATTGTCTACACTGTCTGGCAGTGGGTTTCCAGGGTTTCCGAGGAGGATCTCTCCATTCAGAAACTGGAGATTTAATCTGGGATTTTCTTATCCTAAAGCATGCACTGCTACAGAGCTCCTAGCAGCTCCTTGCCCAAAGGATTGCTTTAAAGAATCCTATTAGCTAGAGATTTTATATATAGCAAAGATGTTAAATCCATCCCTCCACCTGTCCCTCTCAAATATCTAGCAAGGAGGATTCATCTGCACCCAACAGGCAAATGCTAGATGTGGAGAACTGCACCCCCTAATTAAGCATCCATCCAACAGAACACAGTATTCTCTTTCCAACACCATTCTACATTCCCATCCTACGGAGAGAGGGAGCCATTATAAGGTTACCAGACGTCCCGTTTCCCAGGGACAGTCCCTGGATTTACAAACCAGTCCCCATACAAAATCCAGTCAAGTTGAAAAGTGTCCCCAGATTCATTGAAAAAAATCTGGTAACCTTAAGCCATTAGGAACAAAGTTCTCAGCCTGTTCCGTTCAACAGTACCCAGCTTGGCCTCCCCCCTAAATATATATCTAGAGCTATCATCTTAATATACCCTGCTTTATACTATCTTTTAGGAGACAGTATAACTCTCAGCATACCCAAAACAGAAACCATTCCTTTGTTGCAGACACACCCATCCCAGTACATAGCACCATTAGTATCCTTTATGATCAGTTAAGAGCAAGCCAGCATTTTTACTGTGTCATTCCTTATCCTTCAACCTGTAAGACTAGTCAACAGGTAGCATTCTATCCTGTTACTACTGCCCACTGTCTACTCTTCCTTTTGCTCATCAGTCGGTCAGCTCCCTCATCTACATCTCCAAAAAGTCTAAGACAATCAGTATCCTGCATCCTTTAGCAAGCTCCTAGATAAACTCTGCTCCACCAAACTACATGGAACAAACATGAACGAAATCCATATCCAACCAAAAACTATCATAACAGCCACTGCTTTAGTGTACACTTGCCCAGCTGAGTCTATGGCGTAAAAAGGCAAGGAACACCACTCAGTGTTGTCAGTATGAAAGGATATCAGCATCAGCATGATACAGTTGCTACCAACACACTGAAGAGCAGCCAAATGAATCTTGTTTCCCATTATTATTACTTATGCAAGATCGTCTCATCAATTCAACAGGTTCCTTCACACTTTACCAGCCAGAGTTCTCATCTTAACACGAGAAAATCAAGTTGTAACCAGCATAACATCCACCTGTCAGTGCCAAGGACATACAGCCCAGTCCCCACCCAGTTGTATTAAGTGCTCTGTTACAGCCAGTCCTTCAATGAAATTCCCAGTAGAGTTTCAAGACTGTGTCACGTTGACTACCACCTACATATCATTTCACCAACAGTCTGACAGTGTGATGAGCACAGAATTTTTGAAGTTAAAACAGTTTGCTTCCAGGACTTAGCTGCCTTAACACCATCGTAATCACAGTGCACTTATCTATCATTTATATGGGAACTCAGTTCATCTTATTATCTGACAGACAAGATGGATCACCCTTAATCACTTTGTGGGAACTGGAATTTCAGTGTAGCAATCCAAGTCCAGAGAACCCATAGTATGGAATTCAGAATGGCTGTAATTCTCACATAAGTCCCTCCCCCCGCCTCCCATACAGGTTATCTTTGTGATATTTGGTAAGCTTTTATGAATCTCAGTCTCAATCGCTAACATTTTAATCATAGATTCTTTTTTTGTTAAGTAACATGCCACATCAGCTAGTAGCTATTTCACGAATACAATAACAGTATAGGAAACAGACTTAATTTCAAGTATGTTTGCATTGAACCTTGATCAGAGTAACACTCTTTTCAATAGGTGCTTCACCACTGCAAGTCCCAGTGAGTTTCCAATAGGGCTTGCTCATAGGTAAATACATGTAGGAATACATGTAGGAACAGATCTTGGAGCCATTTTAGTCATTAATAGTGTCCTACATACATAGCTCTCTGTGATCTATTATGCATAGTTGTACTTCACTCCATTTACGTGTAGTAAAACACAGCCTGCCCACATAACATGCATGCATGCATTGAAATGCAACAATGACATGCACTTTTTAATTCCTTTCTTTTTCAGGTAAATGCTTTCCATGTAGAAAACCCCTTAGGCCTGAAATGACCCTCAAAGAGAAAGAGGACATTGACCAGATAATTAGCAGATAGGAAGAATCTCACCTTGCACAACAGAGGTGTGGTTGCATTTACATTACAGGTATATTTACAGTTCTAAAGAGAAGCCTTATGGCCTGTCCTATCTAGTCACTAACACTAATACAGCACAGGAGGTATGGTCAGGAAATAGTCTATGACCTTGCCTCAGCAGGCTGAAACCGAATCCCTCCTTTTCCATGGGTTGCCAGAGGAAACCCCTGAAATAAGCTCTAGCCAGACGAAGCTGGATTGCATCAAGGCTTGGTGTGATGCCAAGCCTAGCTAAGTGGGGCTTCCCCAGAGTTGTGCAGACTGGTCAAAATCTTATTAGCAAAACTTTGCAAATGCAAAATAATAAACACTCTTCGTTCACCTCTCTGCATCAAAATGTTCAAAATGGAACTGGCTCTTTTGGACTCCTGTGAAGGAGTATCTGCTCTCCACTCTAGCCTACAGCAGCTGCAGCAGCATCCAAATTAGCAGAATTTAGTTCTAGAGGTGCCCTTTGTTGACTGTTGGGGATCCATCTGGAGGAAAGTGGGCTTTAGGGAAATAAAGGTTTGAGAAATCTGAGCTCAAAGTGCATTTAAAAAAGATTTTCTTCCTAGGATTCTGACTTGAGCCAAGGTGTGTACGCATACATACCCACACCCAATCCAAACACAGCAACCTGAAGTCTGGCAAATTAGCGTCTGCCTGCTCCTAGTCTTTTGGAATAAACAAACTGAAAAGCAAACCCTCATATATGGCAAAGCCAGTGTGTGAGTTTCAAGTCAACAACTGAGCTTAAGATGCTACAGGAAAGGGAAATGTATGTGTGGGATGAGGTGGGAAGATAACAAAACAAAAGCCTCACATAATGTAGCAACTGGGTCACAATGTTTATTTTACTAGTCCTGTGGGAGTCAGCTGAACTACTTCAGGATCAACCATGTCTCTTCAATGGGTCTGCACTAGGGGTGCCTAGGGCGGAGCTTTTTTAAAGAGGGGACAGTGCAGCAGCCAGGGACACCCAGCAGCCCCCATGCCGCCCTGCAATCCCTTGTGGCGCCCGGTGGAAATAGACTTCAATTGAAATTAATGTGATTTTTCCTTCCAAGAAAGGTAGAAATCACAACAAATTTAAGTTGTAAAGAAGTCCTAGTGAGAGACTTCCAACTAATAATGATTAAGGTTCTGCTCTAAGTGTATTTAGGATTGTCTTGAATATAACACATATTTACTTGGTAATATTTTAAGGAAATTTGCTCCAAATGTGCCTGGGGGAGCAGACCTTAAACATACTGACATACTGAAACTGATTTTAATTGTAAGATATGGCTCCCCCTTATGCTCATGGGGTTGCAAGGTATGAGGAACATACTGGCATATGTGGTGGGGATGTAACTATGTAAACAAGTTCTGGAATTAGGCGGCAACAGAAATTAGTATTATCATAGACAAACAGGTCACTCTGGGCTCTCAGTTATGTCTTTTATCTATTTTTGATGGTGCCAATGCCAATCTTATTTGTAAACAATTCATTTTATATTTGCTGCTTGCTTAGCGGTTTCTCAAGGGTGAAAGGACACATCTTGCTACTCTTTGAACTCATGGTTCAAAAATGTTGTGTTTATTGTCATTTATTAAAAACTGACTCATAAGATACATGCTTCCAGGGGCGATGCAGACTCCTCAGATTTTGCATTGTCTGGTCGTTGTTCATTATTTACATGACCAAACAACTCATGGTTGCCACACTCCTACTCAATATGATTTTATCTAGTGATGTTTATGAATACTTAATATATTTTGCATAAAAATGAATCCTGTATCCCACCATGGAATATCTGTTATGCTATCCATTCTCTTTATATAGCTCTATTACCTTATAATGTATTTTCATTCTGTTTGCCCTCATGACATTTTATGATGCATTTTAGTTTGTTGTTTTGTTTATTGAATTGGCAATTTTTAAATTAAAGTTTAGATTTAAAAGGTAAAAAACCCAACCCTGATGAAAATCAATGGGGTTTAAACAAATTACGCACAATCCAACAAAAGTCAGTCACACTTTAAAATTAAAAAGCTACCGTATTTGTTTGATCTCAAACCCAACTGAACTTGGTGGGCCTCAGTTGGATCTAACTTTGGCTGGAGTGTGCCCATTTATCTGTGTTTAGGATCGGATTGTTAGCCTCCTGACTAGTGAGAAGGAGAAAACAAGTCAATAGAGCGGGTCCAGCTAGTCTTTATATAGCCAAGGGGAATTGGACCTTGACGCCAAACGGAGGCGGTTGTTCAGACTCCAACAAGCGGCTTCAAAGCTCCTAATTGTGAGACTTTTGGTTATATAACTTAAGCGCCGAAAGTTATTTCGCTCCAGCATTGGCGGGTAAGGAATTTTAGCTGCAGTTTAACAAGAGAGGCCTAGTTAGGTGCGAACTCAGGGAAGATATGGCCAGCCACACAAAAAATGGGGGAAATCCGCAAATTAAAACAAAGCGAACTTTCCACGCGTAAAGTCCTTTCCCGTTTTCGAGCGCGCCCCGCCAAGAGAAGAACAAAACCCCCAGCGCCCCCCGCCCCGGCCTTTCCCCACCACAGGGCCAGCCGCCCTTCTGCCCCAGCTTCGCTGCTTTCCCAAGGGCCATCGGACCTGGACTCTGGACTCCGGCAGGTTGATTTTCAGCGCCACTTCCTCTCTCATGAAGATGTCCGGGTAGCGGGTCTTCGCGAAAAGCGCCTCCAAGACGTCCAGTTGCGACCGGGTGAAGGTGGTGCGCTCCCTCCGCTGCTTCCGCGGGGTGGCTGCGGGTCCCGGGACAGAAAGACAGAAAGGGGCATTGAGGACCCGTGGCGGCATGGTCAAGATCCGCCCCCGCCGCCCCGCCCTCCGCCACCCCCGGCCCCTGGTTCTGGATGGGGAGGTGGAGGAGAGACGCGCGCTCGCCGCTCTCTAGTCCAGCAAGCGGGGAGGCACAAAGAACTCCAGATCACAAGGACAGCTCCTGATATTTTTAAAGGCGCATAAATATAAACACAAAGCGTCCGTTGGAGTAGGGGAGGGTGAGAAACTGTGCGGACCACAGGGCAGCTCCCGGGGAGGAGGGGAGGTAAGCGCAGACGGAAATTCTATTCGGGTTGCAGACTGAGTTTCCTGAGCGGCCTCCGACGTAAAAGAGCAGCTCACTTGAAGTTCTGGGTCTCTTGGCGACAACCCAGTTAAAATGGAAGTATCTGTACTTAAATAGATTATTTACAGCCCAGTCATTTAAATAATTTTTAAAAAGAACTTCAGTTGGACCTAAGTTCCAGGGAAGACCTTAGGTCTTGAATCCTCCAAGTAAAGCTGCAATCCTAGGTATAATTTACTCCGCAGTAACTGCAGCAGAATTAAATTGGTGCTACTTTGCAGAACAAACACGCTTTTTGGAATGACGGTTTAAAGCTGCAGCCCTGCAATGGGAGCGAGTTTCACTGAAGTCAGCAGAGGGTTACCTCACAGTGAAAGCCCGTAGGATTGGGCTGCCTGCGCATTCAGGGTCAGGAGAACTCAAGCATTTCTGAAGGACAGAGAACTTCTTGAGCTGGGAATAGACAGCACTTTCTCGCATTATATGCCACGACTTCCGGCTTAACTGGGTTGTGGATCAGGCTATAACAGCATTTGAAAAGACACGGGGAAAGCCCATTAACACCCCATTTCTTCATTTCTCAGCAAACTCATCCGTAGGGGCGGGGAGTACTGTGGAGTTATGGACCCGGGAAAAAAGAAAAGATTGGCTCCTAACTTCGGATGGGCAGCCCAAGTTCGCAATCAAAGGATTTCACCTCCACCCCCAGTTAGTTCTCAAGCACGAATAACCTTAGGAGAACTAACATTTAAACGTGTTTGTATTTGGCTTTAGATGTATCCCTCAAAGTGCAAGTAGGTTAAACCCACATTTGTTTTATTTGTAATATTGTCAAGGCATACACTCCAACAACAACAAAAATAAATCGGGTCTTAAAAAGCAAGTCAAAATCTGAAACTTGGCAACTCACACTTTGGACAGTAAACATTTTGCTAGCGTGCTCCCCATTGATTATAATTAGGGACTAAATACCAAATTACTAAATACCAACCTGTTTAAAGGTTGCCCTGGGGTGCTAGGGTGCCATGAGAAATCAGCATTTTAACATTGAATTAAACGCCAGGAAAATCAGCAGTGTTCACTTTCCAATACAGGGGTAGTTTAGGATACCACAGGTATGGGGGTGATAATAAGAGTGGATAATTCAATTATGGAAAATGGTTTTGCTGACCTGGAAAAAATAATATGATCTATCAAGAGCTTTATCCATAGGCTCTCGGATCCCTTTCGCCTTGTAGAACCTCTACAATAAATTGAGGAACTATTTTATTTCAGCCGCATAAATTAAATACGAGGCTGCTTGGAGGGGCTGGATCTGCCTGGCCAATAATCAGTCGGTAGAAGCAAAAGAGGTTGGTGCGGCTCACCCGGATACCCCACGGAGGGGTGGAGAAGATCCATCGCAGGTCCCGCCAGCCCCAGCCCATTCATGCCATAGGGGGGCTGTTTGAGGTAAGACATCATGCTAAAAGCTGGAAAGATTTTTCCAATTTATCCACACACAATTAGAAATGTTCTTTTCCCCAAAAGGCGTGTCTTAAAATTCTTGGTTTGTTCGTGGTTTTTTAAAAAAATTATAATAAAAAATTAAAAGATTGATTCTTCCAAGGAGGCGGCTGAAGGAAATCCCAGGGGCAGGAGAGCCTCTCACTGCAGCCTGCAGGAACAGAAAAAAACACACGCACAAGACAGAGAACAAGGCAAAATATCAGCTTTTTCCTAAGTTTCCACACAGAGCGCGCCTATTTTACTTCCCTCCCTCTGTTTCCCTCTCATTTATTTGACTTTCAGATAAAGTCAAGCTGGAATATAATTTTATATACAGCTATGGCAGATCCTAACTAAGAAAGAAAAAAACCTCTCAAACGCGCAAGGAGGGAAATAAAGCAATGTAAGACTGTCAATTTAAAACAAAAAAAGGGGCGAGGGGTTTCTTCCAAACACCTGGTCCAGGAGTAAGAAAACTTGTACTCGGAGTTAGGCAAGATTAGGCCTTAAAAAAGGTATACATGCACATACACACTCCGTATAAATAGGGCTTTTTTAAAGGACAAAAGTCAAGTCTCTCCGTCGCACACAAGATGGCGGAAATTCCCCCCACCCGCCAAGAAAAGGGGGAAGTGGAATCAGAAAGTGACAGAGAGTGAAGAGGTGTAACCGGGTGGTGGAGTGGGAGTGGGGAAGGAGGTCTACTCCCCCCCCCGAACTTTTTTTTTTTTTTTAATAACTACAGCCATATTGCCATACAATCGCCGAGGGGCTTCCAGGGGGTACAATACTCCGTGATGAGGGAGATAAAGCAATTATTTAAAAAGATAATTGGATTAAAAATCAAAACGAGATACCAAAAAAGGGGGTAAGTATAATTAATTTGAAAGTGGGGAGAAAGAGACGCTTTAATTAGAAATGGCTAATGGCCTAAAAACAAACAGATTCCAGGAGCTGCTTTGAAATTCACGTTCCAAAGGCCCCCCCCCGACTGACGGAAGAGCCGCGGAGGAAGGCAAAGGAAGACGACACAACAAAGTTGCCTAATTCTTCGGGTGGCGGAGAGTAGCGAAGACTGAAGGCAGGATCCTAGGCCCTCTTACTAAAGTAATAAAGTAAAATTTAGGCCAACGCAAACTGTCTTTCAACTACATGAGTAAGGATGGTGGCTTATATACCCGCAGAATCCCTGTATACGCAAAACATTCAAGGTGCTGTAGCTGTTTTTAATTCTACAGCTCCTTAAAAGTTTTGTTGTGGTTCCTCGAAGTTATATAATTCCAAGGATTTATAAGAGGGTTTCTGGGGGGATTTTGTAGGCATTTGTTGTTGTTTTTTTCTCAACTGAGAGAAACAGATATTTAGGTAAATTTTCCCATGTCCAGATCCAGCAGGTTCATTAGCCGATGGATTCGGCCGGAGAGATGCACAAACAATAAGTTAGACAAACCAAGCAGATACAATAAAATAAAATCAGCAGATGGTGGTGGCATTAACCTCAATTAATTATTGGCCATAAACCTTAATTGGACTGCAGGCCATCCTGCTTCCAAAATCTATATTTATAGCAGAAAGATTACAAAACCAAACCAAACCAAAATAAATAAATAAGAAACAAGAGCAAGAACTATGAAGTGGGATTTAAATTTAAGCTAATAATTTTTTCTTAGGCTGTAAAGGCCGATATATGCCAAATTAATTTAAGGCATTCCACACTCTTAAAACTGATTAACCTGTTGCTGTTTCCCTTAAGTTTGGATTTGCTTTAAAGTTCTCCTTGGTTTGATTTGAGAAGGAAGGGATTTCTGCCTCTTCACGCGATTCAAAAAGTGAAAAGAAAGTCCATCTGCTTTACTTTAGCAGGCTGCGGTCCTAAGTGTGCCGACAAGATTAAGGGCCTTTTGAAACCCGTGTGGTTTCCTTTAGAGGAAATAACATTGGGATTGGGCCTTAGACTTTGCAAAAACCTCAGCAACACGGAAATTTTTTGTTTTGTTTTGACTTGGAGGATAGTTCCATTCTTCCAGCTCTACTGTCTTTAAAGTATTCAAGACTGCAACTCTCTGAAACATCAACACTTTTGCTTATTTATTTCAGTTGCAATCCCCCTCCCCAATGCGTTTTTCCGGGATCGCACTTGAATAAGCCTTTCAAAATATCTCCTAAACAGCGGCCCCCTCAGCGCCTTCCATGGGCGCTTTTAATTTCAGGAAAGGACAGTTGGAGAGAGAGATCTTCGGACGAGGCACCTCGAAGGAGGCCCGGGAATCCCGAGAGGGAGCTGGCCAGAGACCCCAGAGACCCCAGAGGGAGAAAAGCCGGGCGGGGGGGGGGGGGCGGCCAAAGGTCCTCCCGGACAGGCCCCGCGGCAGCGAAGATGCAGCAAGTCAACATTGTAACAAAACAGAAAAAGTCGACTCCCAGCCTGGAGAGACAGACGGGAGTCCCTTTGGAGCTCAGCCGCGACTCGCCGAGCCCTTTAGTGGGAGTGCGCCGAGACTCGCGCGGAGCCCAGCGCCAGAAGGTGCCCAAGGGGAGCGCGAGAGGCGAGGGAGAAGCCGGCCAGGGAGGTCCAGTCGGGGCGAGCCCCTTCCCCGCGGCCGGAGGCGGGAGGGCGAGCGCGGAGGGAGCCGGAGGGGCAGCGGCGGAGCCCCGTTTCCAGGCGGCCCAGGCAAGTTTCGAGGGAAAGTTGGAGTTGCCTCCTGGGCCGCCCGCCCGCTCAGCCCCGCCGCTCCGAGAAGGGCTCCTCGCCCGGCCGGGACAGGGGCTGCGGGGCGGGCGGGCGGGCGGGCAGGGGAGCGGGGCGAGGGTCCGGCCTCACCTGCGGGAGGAGGAGGAGGAGGAGGGAGAAGCCGGAGGAGGCAGCGCTTTTTACCTTGCCGAGGTCGCGTCTCGCCCAGTTCTTTAGGTGATTGGAAATGTAGCCCGAAGAAGATTGATCCCCTTTCCGCCGCCCGGCCCGGGTAGGTGAGCGCCAGGCGAGTGCGTAACCCAGCCCCGCCAATCCCCGGCCTCGCCGCCGCTGAGTGACAGCCGCCCGGGCAATGGCAGCGCGCGATCAGGAGCGCTCCCGCCCCCGCCCCCGCCCCCGCCCCCGCCCGGCCGCGCGCGCAGCAGCCCCAGCCCCGCGCCCCGCGCGACTCCCGGCCCGGCTCCCTCGGGGCTCCCTCGGGATGGAGGCCCCCGGCCCGCCCGGGCCACCTCCGCCCCTCCGCCGGGGACCCCTCCAAAGCGGGCCGGGGCGCTGCGCCCTGGCGCCCGGCAGGGGACTTGCCGCGCTCGGGGGAGACCGGCCGGGCCGCCGCCCCCGCCCCGCGCTCGCTTCCCGGGCGGCCCGAGGATGCCCTCTCTGCCGCCCCCGGCCAGTGGTCCCGGCCCTTCTCCCCGCCCGGCTTCTGCGTCGTCTCCTCTCAATCCGAGCCGCCTTGCTCTTCCTCGAAAGAAAGTTCGCTGCGCCTGATCTCGGGCGCCTCAACAGCCCGCAGGTCCCATTCCTTTCGGTGCCCGACAAGTTTTGGCGGAAGTCCCGCGAGGGAGATGCAGCCGGACTCCGGAGCCCCGAGTTTGGCCTCCGACCCGGCCAGATGGACCCCCGTTTCCCGCTCTAAATTCGGGGAAGGCAGGTTTCTGGGGAGAGCAAAGGGTGTCCGGGGGGGGGGCGTATTTCAAGGGAGAAGACAAACGTCGAGAACCAGTAGACGCCTCGATACTATAATTCCACAGGGCAAAAGTCGAAGCAGTAGCAATTCTAGTGCAGGCTGCGGTGGGGGATGTGCGCGCCAGTCCCCCCCCCCCCCGCCGCCCATTTTTGTGCCCAATGGATCCCGTTTGCTTGGGCTTCTCCAATCTGCGCGTCGCGCGGCTGCTGGAAACCTGTTGCCGGCTAGTTGCCAGGCAAGCTGCGCGCAGCAGCCTCCGAGCTCCGTCTCTCGGGGACCCGGGGGGCGTCTCTCGGACTTGGTAATTAAGTGTCTGAGGCCGAGGAGGACAACTTTAATAAAACATAATCCGAAGTGAGCTCTGATTCTAAGTGTATTTGTGGAACAGTAAGTGCCCGCGAAATAAAGTAAATTTGCTCCCAACGACCTTTTGCTAAGAGTGTTACACAAAAGTTCAAAGGGCGTCAGTGGGTCCTCCTGCCAAGTAAGTTTCCTCAGGATGCGGGCATAAGCATAAAAGTTGTTAAAATGCGCAGATTGGTTATATCTATACCTACTCTATATCATATTCTTCAACGCATTTCAGTGCATACGCCGCACGCGCATCCATCCACAACACACACCTTCTAAGCGCACAGAGTGCGCGCCAGGTCGAGGGTATCTAGTTCATTATCATAAATATTAATAGACACGAATTCTTTACAAAGAATTATTTCTTCCCCCCTTTTTAAAGGAGAGAAGTTTTAATAGAGAGAAAACTTCTGAACATACAAAGAGTAAAGTGAAAAGGAATTATAATCATCATCGTGGTTTTTTCAAAGGGGAAAGAAACCCTCCGAATCAACTGGTTGCTAACAAACTGAATGAAAGCGAGGTCAGGAAGGGATTGGTGGCCGCCGCTTCAAAGTGAGGGTCCTCTAACCCGCTGCCCCCGCTCCGCTTTCCCCTTTTTCCGTGAGACACTTTCCCTTTGGAGTCCCAATGAAACACGGTAACAGAATATGAGGGAAGCACACTGTTTCTTTAACTGCTTCTCAAAGGATCCGGGAGATCTTCTTAGGACCTTTAATAAGGCTTTGGTGCGGTCCTTTTGTTGATCTCTCAAAATCAACTCCTTCTAATTGAAGCTGGAGCTGAAAGCGAGCTAATGTTCAAAGGGAGTGACCGCCACAGTCCTGACGAAATTACATTTTTCCCCCATTGAGGGGGACATCTAATCAAAGTGGACTGGCGGAGAGGCGAAAGAGAGGGAGAGAGGGAGAAAAATGAGGTTTACAAGATCCTTCTATAGCCCACAAAAGTCAGCGACACGGGCAC